TACAAGTTATGTAACAAAAAAATTGACACCGCCAAGCTGATGTAAATCTATCTCCGGTTTCTCCATTCGGTTAGGAAAAAAACTGTAAATGATTCGGTGACAGAATCGTGATCCAGAAAAATGTAAAATAGGAAAGTTAATGAACCTCGGAATCCGTCTCTGGCTGCTTGGGTCTTCAAGATATAAAAAAAAATTTGCTTGTATAATGAGGCGACTTTATGACTGTTGGTGTTAGTATACAGGGTGTCCCTTTAAGACGGATTCTTCCATTGCTCTGATAATATCAGTAATACAAAAAAGTTGCAACAAATTATTTTTTCTCGTATTTTCACTTAATTTTTTCAAACAAAACACCCTGTATATGATCACATTATTTAAATTTTTCGTTAAATTTAAGAATTACTTTAATGTAGGTTTCAAAATGTGATGTTTAGGTATTATTTGTCATTTAAAAAAATGTTGCAGTTCGCAGTATTCTTGAAAATATCAAATATCTCGGAAATTAATCACGATAACGGTATATACGGTTTTCACTATTCATACACACATGAGAAAACCGATTTCCTATGTTACTTAATTCATTTTAAATGGAAACATAATAATTACAGACCTTAAAAGTTAAAAAAAAATCATAGATATACTAAATAGATACTAAATTTGATACAAATGAAATATTTTATTTTCTTTCAATTTTATTGCCCCTTTAAGGTTTTTAACTTTTGATTAGTTTTTTTTTTGGTAGGCACAATTTGTTACCAGTATAACAACTGTACAAAATTTAAAAAAATTGCTTAACTAAAAACAAAGTTGTGGTAAAAAATTTATAAAATGCAGTTTTCAAAAAAGTGTCATCGGAACTTATACAATTTGTATATTTATTTATAGATACTTACAGTTAGTCTTTTGCAGACAATTTCCTGACATTTGTTGCATTTTCGAGCATTTTTATTTAACAAACTTTTTTAACTTTACGTAACGTAACTTTTTTATATGTAGAAATAGTGTTAATCTATAAAATACATATTTTTCAAAGCGTTTAGATTCGCAGAAAAATGTTGATTTTTGCGCTTACAATACATCGTTGAAATTATACAACAAATTCACTTTTCTAAATACCGACTAAAAAAAGGTTTTTGGTTCAGCATTCGATATAGCCGTTATAATAAACAGTTCATGAGGGGTTTTTCAGAAACGATTTCCGATATTCAAAGGCATGTGTCACCACAAAAAATATGTATTTTTTTACGCATTCATATTTTACAGTCCTTTTCCAAAATTCTCAACAATCGTCCACATGTAATCAAACTTCAAGGATAGGTATTATTAAACATTTTCGTGTACACTGTAACACACACAGAATGTGGCTCAAATAAAGGCAGATTTTTACTTTTTTATACAGGGTTTTACAAATTAGAAGTTCAACCCGTTAACCACATATTCTTTGGACTAAAATAGTAGAACTTTTCTTATGTCACTTTTTATTTCGAAGCCCTATTTTCAAAATACAAGGTGTCTTAAAATTTAAAAATTGATTTTTATTTATAATTCCGGTGATTGTAGAGATATTTACTTGAAATTTAGCACATACTTTGATCTTAAGTCAGCACACTTTTTGTGTAATTTTGCTTTAAAATATCAAATCGCAAACGGAGGGGAGGTGGGTTACTGTACCCATTGACCCCCTATTTTTTTTGAGTACGCCTATCTTTCAGAATATTTTTTTTTAGATAAAGCAGCGTATTATTCTATTTTTTTTTCACTCTTGTAAGGAAATAGAATAAAACGCTCCGAAATGAAAAGTGGCATAAGAAAAGTCCCATTTTTTTAGTCCAAATAATATGTGGTTAACTGCTTAACCTATTAATTTGTAACACCCTATAATAACTATGTAAACAAACAAAAAACAAAGGAAGGGAACCTTAGAGTCCAGTAGCTGTATTTATTATCGCAATCAATTACATTCACACAATCCGCAATACCCTGATGACTAACTCTTCTGCGTATAAACAGCCATAGGCGTAAAATTCTATATTTTCAAAACTTAAATTTGTTTTCTGAAGAGTAAATACTTGCAAATCTTGAAAATACCTTTCTGTGTCACAACCTTTCACAAACAAGGAAAATTCGATGTTCGCTATTGTATTTTCGCTATGAAAAGTTAACCAATGTGGAAGATTTCACAGTTCAGGGTTTTTCTGCTGTAAACGTAGAATATACTTAATCCTTCACCAAACTTTCCTGGAATTTAAAATTTTGATATGGCTTGATTAAATATTAATCTATCATTAACGAAAATTTAGATTTCTATCTATTTTCTGTCATTTTCGGAATGGTATTTAATGAATTGTAGCTCTTGCAGCAATTTGATGGATCTGGAAATATATTTAGTAACCTAGGTTATTAATAAATTGTCGGCATAAATGTTGCGGCATTTATTCAAGTACCCCCAGATGATAATAACCCGATTTGGAGATAACGGTAAATTAGAAATGTTTCTCCGTATGTACCTATATTTGTTTTAATGCAATGTGTTTCAATGGATAACCAAATACAGGGTGGCCAAATGAAAACGAAACAGAGCCATTTTCAGGAACTGCGTCAGATTGTAGAAAAACGCTCAGACCCGTCGATTTTAGATTAAAGGGGGACATTCTTTGCTGGTATTTTTGACTCCGCCACTTTCACCCCCAAGCAATGGTAAGCATCACCCCAAAATATTTAAATGGCATTGGGGGTTGGGTAATATTTCTTTTGAAAGCTCTTACAATGCTCTTTACAACAGACTTTAAATTTTATAATCCCGCCCAATACTTATTAAGAATTTTGATTTTAAAGAAACTTATGTACAAACAATTAGTAACCGTAAAAATGTCGGTCATTCGAGTTAAGTACGCCAATGGTATAAACTTAGTATTTCTTGCATTACATTGATTTTTGGCGATTTGTTATCACTTTCGTGATAACAATTGTAAAAAACATAAATGAATGCTATACACACACAATGAACGTAAAAATAGTGGATTCCAAATTATTTTCTAGTATTATTTGGAAGCGTTGGTTGGTAGTTTATTTAATTGTGTTTTTGAAAATTAAACACTATGGTTTATTCCATTGCGGAAAGGGTAGATATCATTTCGCTTTACTTTATAAACAATAAATATGCGAATAGAACAGCTCAGCTATTTAATGAACAACATCAAGATTGACATGTCAGGAGGACGTATGTTCTAGAGTTAGTAAAAAAATTTCAAGAGACAGGGAACGTAGTCAATAAAAAACGAGAAATTGAAAAACCTATAGTTAATGAAGCTAGTGAAGTTGCAGTTTTGGGACAAGTTCATATTGATCCTACAAGCAGCTGGCATCTGTGTCTGGGATCAATCGAACTAGCATACAAACCATTTTGAAGAAGAATAAATTCCATCCATACAAAATACATTTAGTCCAGGAACTTCATGAGGATGATTATGACAGCCGTTTGCAATTTTGCGAAATAATGAGTGAGCGAGCAGGGAACGATCCACAGTTCCTTTTTAACATCTGTTTTCCTGATAAATGCAGTTTTTTCTTGAATTGGACGGTAAATCGTCACAATTGCCGCTATTGGTCCGATTCAAACCCAAGAGTTTTTCACGAGGTGCATACACAGCAACCGGAAAATTAAAAGTAAGGGCTGGAGTTTTCGGTGACCGGCTGGTGGGTCCTGTTTTCTACCTGGTAATTTGTCTAGCCAAATGTATTTGCAATTACTGGAAGACGCTATTAACCCTGCCTTGACTGATATTATTGAAAATGTTCCACAGTATGATGGAAATCATTTGATTTTTCAACAGGACGGTGCTCCTCCGCATTATGCGTTAATTGTCCGTCAGTATTTAGACCAACGTTTTCTACGGAACTGGATTGAGAGAAGAGACAGCATTGAGTGGCCTCCACGATCACCGGATTTATCGCCCCCTGATTTCTTTTTGTGGGGATACTTAAAAAATAAAATCTATAAAACACAGCCAGCGTCGCTGGAAGATTTGCGTCAAAGAATCGTCGACTAATGCCGTCGAATCACTCCGGAAATGCTTCGGAATGTGCGTGAACGTTTCGAACAAAATCTTTATTCTTGCATGGAAGCGGGCGGTCATCAGTTTGAACATTTAATCAACTAAGTAGTAAGTAAGCAACTAAACATAATTTAAATTTTAAAATGTAAAATTTTTTCAAAGTATAGGGGCGGAATTATAAAATTTAAAGTCTGTTGTAAAGAGAATTGTAAGAGCTTTCAAAACAAATATTACTCAACCCCCAATGCCATTTAAATATTTTGGGGTGATGCTTACCCTTGCTTGGGGGTGAAAGTGGCGGGGTCAAAAATACCAGCAAAGAATGTCCCCCTTTAATCTAAATATCGACGGGTCTGAGCATTTTTTTACAATCTTGACGCAGTTTCTGAAAATGGCTCTATTTCGTTTTCATTTGGCCACCCTGTATATTGCCCATCCATTTTTTTCTCCTATTTTTACCAGCGTCCTTTGACATGAAATTCATCTTTCGTACTTGACGTTTCGAAAGACACTAATATTTTTATTTTGTTTATAAACGATCTTTAATCTTAAGAAATTGTAATCGAATGACAGACTTTTGCGCATCCGTATTTGTCGTGGTATTAGTCTTACAATTAGTCCTAAAAGTTCAAAGATCCTTTCAAAATCAGGTCTTAAACCCTCCTTAGAACTAAGACTGGGTTGGGATTTTTATAAATGTAGGTACACATCGAAATCTGTAGGTTTAATTTTTTTAAGGCAAAGACTAAGGTTAAGTTAGGACTAAGACCTTTTTATAGACTCCTCATTGTTATCCTCATAACAGAGAAAATGAATAATTTCCTTCAACTCAGTTCAACTCAGATCACACACCCACGATTCTGCGCCGTTTTTCTGTTGTTTATGTGCCTAAGAACCCTACGCTTAGAGATTATCAAGTAGCCTAACCCCTGTCTTTTGTTTCAGGATGATCCACGGCCAACTATTCAACTAAGCCATTCCGTTCATTTCGACCGATCCAAAAACACCTTCGACAAGTGAATGTCAATCACCCGCAGCAACCTTAGACCGCGCTCGATCTCCTGCCTAGTACTGCCAAGGCGACGTCGCGAGGCCAAGCGTCGGCCTAAACCGGTCGTCAGTTTCACCGGAAGGTGAAAAGTGGATTCACCGAGGGAGTTTGGACAAAAACGCGTACTTATGTTAAAGAGGAGGCCGAAGAAAGCCCGCTTCTTTATCAAGTAAGCCGTTCCCGAGATGACGAAGTACAAACTCAACGGCGACGGCCGTCGATCGGGTAGTCAGGTTACCCTGACGTCGTATATGGTGGGGGAGGGTTACGAGAACGACGGCAGTCACAACGTCAGCTTCAACGGACCAACCAGCCATGAACCTGAGAGGATTGCCGTTGGCAATCAGCAGAAGTGCGCCAATGGTTGTTCGATGAAGAGTAAGTTCGATCGTCATTTGTTAAACAGTAGAATGAATATATTATTGAAAAATAACAACTGTTAATCTATTCAACGTGTTACTTTTTATTTGAAACAATTACAACTCAAATAGAATAATTTGTACCAAACAATTCACCTCTCGACTACTTTTTGGTTTTCCAACAGATGGCACCACCGTGTTAGACTTCCCAGAGGACAGGTACCTCCAGCGCCGCCAGGTGACGTCTTTCATCGTTAAACCCACAGTGAAAGAATGGATAAAAGACAGGATAAAAAAGGGTTGCAGGAAAAAAGTCCTCTACAAGCGAATACCTATCCTTTCATGGCTGCCCCAGTACAACCTGGAAATTGCAGTGTCTGATCTAGTGGCAGGTTTCACAGTTGGACTGACTGTCATACCTCAGGCGATAGCTTACGCCAGCGTTGCTGGACTGCCTCCTCAAGTTGGTAAGATTACAAGAAAGGTTACCTGGATTAGTTGGAAGTCGTTTGATTTCTTTTCTCAGGTCTCTACTCGTCTTTTATGGCATGTTTCGTCTATACGATATTCGGTAGTTGTAAGGATTCACCCATAGGACCCACAGCGATTTCCGGTCTGTTGACGAGAGAAAATAACCATGGGATGGGTATTCCTGGGGCGGTGCTCCTGTGCTTCCTCAGCGGCTGTTTTGAGTTCCTGATGGGGGTGTTGCAGTTAGGTACGCAAAACGTCGAATTATAACTATTTACTGATCGCAATAACGTTATTATCAATTCAAACAGACACTTTTATCTAACAACTACACTGGTATAATGTTGTTCATCTGTTAAACTCAGTTACGACTACCCTGGTTATCGGATTGGTCACTAACACCCTTATTTTTCCATTTTTAACTATACTTATTGAACAAAACTGAACTCAAGTGTAAAAATGTGTGTTTTACATTTGTACGCATATGACACGCATTGACATACCTCAGCTGGAAACTTGAGACAGAAAGATTGAAGATAGAAAGAAGCGCTCGCGACAATAAAACTGAAAATTATATCTGAACTCAATGCACAGTGCACAGCACATTACAAATTTCATACAGAAAATATACAAGTATTATTCACCAGTCGAGGAAAATTTTGCGCCCGAACGGAGCGAGGGCTGGCAATAGCGTCCGAGACTGGTAAAATTATACTTAACTGCTGCGTGGTGTATAGCATTTATCTGCTCCCACTTCTTTTAGTAAAGTGCCCGGAAGCGTTAAATATGCTTAAAAATCAATTCTGTGGGCGTCGCGGGGTTGCTGAATTATACAGAATATATGGCAGAATAAATTTTTAAACTTGAATATCTCGGTTCGAACACGTCGAAAATCTTACTGAAATTCATCATTTTTTTAGATCCCACGCCATTTACCGGAAAACGAAGACCTTCATCGAAAAATGTTACTGTTGCAAAAAGTTTCTCTCACCAATTTGAGAGACAACAGCGGGTAATTAAAAATTTTTGCTTCAATAATAAACAAGTTATGGATAAAAATACAAAATAAGTCATTTTTCGATCGGCCGGCGGACGGCTGGCTGCTTCGCGCCTCCACTTCGCCACAGTCGCATCTGTCTCACAAATCTCCATAGCTCCATTTCGTATTACTTCAATACGCGCGAGTCAGTAGTGATAACCCTACTAAATACAAATTTGAAAAACATGCAAAATTAATTAAAAAAAAATATGTCAGATGTAAAATATGATTTTTTTTAATAATTAGATTTAAAAATTATATAAATATATATTTTTTATATTCACATACATTTAGATTCGTAAAATCGCTAAAATGTGGTATTTTGTCCATTTCACGTTTTATATCACAATATATTTTGTGAAGCAGGGATGGTTCGGAACCACTTGTTAACATTGGAGAATAACTAGAAGATGCAGCATCTATTATATAACTGTGAAGCTTTTCGGACTTTTTAACTGGTTTAACTATTAGTTATGAAAAATTAGTTTTTTCTGATTTTAAGATCTTTATTTTACATCCAAATTTTGTTTCAGTATTGCCATAAGCGTTTTTTTCGAGTACTTTGTATCTGTTGAAAATAGCTGTACTAGTAAAAACTTTTCCTTTTCCAATACTAACTTCAACAAATTTTATTATGTTTTGTAAAGGTGTGTCTTCAGCTTGACGAAATTTTTTTCTGGCACTTTCTGTAGTACTTTGTTCTACAATAGTCTGTGGTTTACCAAATGTTTCCCCAATTTTGTTGATTCTGTCATTAGGCAGTTCACGTGATATTTTTCCTCCATTGCTATTAAATCATTGGAGCTTATTCTTTCTAAAACTTCTGAAGAGATCGATGCAATGTTTTTTATTTTAGTTTCTATATTTGCTTTTGGCAAAATGCACATTTATTTATGTCAAACCCACCCTTACGAAGCGATCTACTTGGAAGTTGGAAGGTTCAATACCAGCTACTCTGTACTCTTTCAGTCTTTCCACTCTGTTCCTTAAACTTTCAATATTTTGTTTGCTCGTATAGGCAATATAACACATTTTATGCCAAACAATATGGGCAAGATTTCCAGTTTTAAAATCAACAGTCACCTTTTATATGTACTCGTCTACCTCTTTGTTTATATCATTCCGAATCTTAGTGGAATTCATAAAAGTAAAGAAAGTTGTATCCGTTGATTTGATTATAATACCTCCAGTTTTTTACATGTTATACATTTTTTATGTTTTTGCGTTTAGAATTTTACAAGTGAGCCGATTTCGCTCTCAGAACTAGTGCTATCAGTTGTAGAACTTTCCATTTCGTGCAGTGCTAAATTCTGATAAAAAATCTATAACTGGAATGTGAAATTCCCTACAATTAACTAAAGTAAAATTTCTCACCTAGATTATCCTTGTTAACAACACTGGACACCAACCACTATGTGTTTAAGTTTTTTAAAAAGTGAAAAATTAAGTTTAACCCGATTGTAACGAGTGTTAGGTACTGAACCCGTTATATGCACTCACCTACAAAACTATATTTATGAAAATATAAACATAAGAAAACCACTACAAAAAGGCACACTTTTAAAATTCCGGTAAGATAAGAAATATCAAAGTAAAATGTAACACAATACGAGATGGAGCTATGGAAATTTGTGAGACAGATGCGACTGTGGCCAAGTGGGGACGCGAAGCAGCCAGCCGTCCGCCGGCCTGTCGAAAAATGACTTTTTGTATTTTTATCCATATCCTATTACTATTATTATTATTATTACTATTCATTCATAATAATGAATAAAATGTAATGTTCATCAAATATTTCTATTTATAACTCGAAATTGTTTTTTCCCTAGGGAGGTAAGTTAACTCACTTATCTCCCGTTGTCCATAGCAACTTCCACTTCTACGGTAAAATCCACTTACCTCCTTAAAAACAATCTATTAATAGTCTATTTACTAGTGGGAGCAAATAAAATTTATTTCGTCAGATTAAGAAATAGTAAAAATTGTGATGTATAGAAACGACAAAGAACCGAAGAGGAGTCTTTCCCACATATTTTCTCTGTTGCTAATAAAATGTATATTCTATTTTCAGGTTTCTTGATAGACTTCATATCGGGACCCGTATCGATAGGCTTCACTTCAGCGGCTGCCATCATCATTGCCACCACACAAGTGAAAGATGTTCTAGGTTTAAGTTACCCCGGAGGAAAGTTCCTAGAGGTATGGGAGCAGATATTCGAACATATCTCAGAGACTAGACTCTGGGATGCTTTGCTGGGATTTTCCTGCATGGTGGTGCTGTTAATATTGAGAGTAAGACCAAGATTTAAAATTGTAAATACTTAAACTGACAATATTTTTAAATTTTAGAAGGCCAAAGACTTCAAAATCGGACCCGAGGACGAGAAAGAGAGGAAACCTATACATTCCGCCCTTACAAAAGTGGTGTGGCTGATATCTACGGCTAGAAACATAATAGTGGTGATAGTTTCCGCTTGTTTGGCTTATTTTTTTCGGATACATGGGCAGGATCCGTTTATATTAACAGGTAAAATTGCAGAAGTCTATATGGGTTAGATCTGGTGCTAGAGTAGGTCATTCTGATTACTTACAATTAGATTTTGAGACCAGGTTTCATCTAAAAAGAACCACGATATTCTTGTGGATGTCGCCACAAAAAAATACATTTGTAGTAAAAATTGTACAACCATTTCATTCATAATATTCGGAAATTTTTATGTCCACAAAGGCGAAACTAATCCTGTGTATGAGTAAAAGCTTATGGTCGCATCGGTATATGAATCTTTTCTCGATATTTTGTTATAAAAACAATTTCACTATGGAAAGGGACAGTTCCCTAATATTTGTGTTTGTTTTAAAAATTTTGGTTTGTCTAATTGTATTTCTAAATCAGTCTGCCTAAATCTGTCAAAAGTTAATCTTATGCTCGCAATGTGTTCTTGTAACGATGTTGAAATTATTATTACGTCAACCTTGTAGACTGAACCTGATAGAACATGATACATAGTTTTTTGGAACATCGAGGGAGCGTTTTTCAATCCAAATGGCATTCTAAAGCACTCGTAATGTTCATTACCTGTTGAGAATATTGTTTTCTTAATATCTTCAGGATCTGTTTCTATTTAATGCTAACCACTGGCTAAATCTGATGTTGCAATATATTGACCCCGTCCTAATTCATTCAAAACGTCATTTATCTTGGGTATAGGAAGTGTATTTGATACCTTGTTTCATTCAATTTTCCCATTCTGTTGGGAATGGTCCATATGGCAGCTGATCACTTACTTTTCAAGCATCAAATTTGTTTTTTTGTTTCTTTGTAAATACAAAAAAAATTAGTTAACGTTGTTAAAGACTGGTTTTCTATATATCCATAAATAAACCTCGGATTTTATTAACATTTATCAGTGTCTTATGAATCAACGAGTGTTCAAAACTTTATAGTTCATTTACCACGTAACTTGAGGTAAGCAAATCCGCTGCCACGGACTTCCTTACCTTTCTTTCGAACCTTAGGCTATCGTACAATGTCTCCTTTGCGTGGAACATAATCACTTTGGGTATAATGTTTGAAATCAATTGATATACTTCCATCATCATTATTATCATCGTCATTATTATCATTGTCATCCTTATCATCGATATCATCAAAATTTGGTCACGATCAACATAATCATCGTCCAAATTTAATAATTTAATAACAACGGTTCTAAAGAAATAACGCAAAATTGTATGTTTATATTTTTGAAAACAAAAATTTACAGATTTTTTAATATAAAAAACAGCACAGAGGTTACGTTATCCAAGTAGCGCGGGAGGTTTTCCGTCTCTGTCACTCTTCTGGATCTGCCTATCTCGCAAACAAAATGATTTTAACCCTCGCGATGCATACTTACAAATATAGGACGTTTCATAATAGTATGTCTATTCAGGGGGGTGAATCAGTTTATGATATTAAGTTAAAAAATGCATATAAACATATGTTGTACAGTGTTAAAGTTTCAATAATTTTTCTGTTTGTTCTTTGTATTTCTCACAATTTTTGAAATATGTAGCTCAAATTTGGCACGTAGCCTAACATAGATTATCTGCATCATTAACCCTGCCTAATAGTCGTCACGATCTACAGAGTGATACTTTTCTGGGATCGGACCTCTTTTCAGTTCTTTCAAATGAATGAAATGAATCATTTCCGTGGAATTGAATTTGTCAGATAATATTTCCCCATTCCCAGAAATGAAACTATATAAAATCTTATAATTTACTTCCACTAACTACTAAAAAACTTTTGTAAACACTATCGCAACGACGATTGTAGAATCGGATTTCAGTATGCGGAGTCCCTGGGGCCACGTGGCTCTCCACGCGTATTGCGAATGACGCTAGATACTACATTTGTTCAGTTATTGTAATAGTTGAAAGTACTACTTCAATAATTTTTTTCTCGGAAACTATAAGGATTTTACAAACAATTTTTTACGATATTGACTCTTAATACTTCCTACTCTTGTAGTGTAACAATTTTCAGATTTTTTCGTAAATTTAGGTTTTGTGAAGCCAGGCCTTCCAAATTTCGCCCCACCTCCATTCAGCACCCAAGTGGGGAATACAACTTATAGCTTCCTCGACATGGCCTCCAGTTTGGGATCTGCGGTGATTGTCGTTCCTCTACTGTCGATTCTGGAAAACATAGCCCTTGCCAAAGTGTTCTGTAAGTACAGGAAACGTATTTAATCCACCTTTTGACGCTTTTCTTGTCTCTTGTTTTAGCCGAAGGTAAGACCATCGACGCCACCCAGGAGATGCTGGCGCTGGGCATCTGCAACATCGCTAATTCCTTCGTAAGCTCGATGCCCGTATCGGGAGCTCTTTCTCGAGGAGCTGTCAACAACGCCAGTGGCGTCAAAACTACTTTCGGAGGCGTCTACACGGGGGTGGTGGTGATTCTCTCTCTGTACCTTTTCACCCCGTACTTCTTTTATATTCCAAAAGCCTCGTTGGCCGCCGTCATCATCGCTGCCGTCGTCTTCATGGTGGAGCTTCAGGTCGTCAAGCCCATTTGGAGAACGAAAAGTAAGTTGACAATTCGCGGTCTGCAAACCAATCGCAAACTTCTAACTCTTGCGTTGTGTTTTTTTAATTGTTTTGTGTGAAAACCTAATATTATTTTTCAGAAACTGATCTGATTCCTGCCGTTGCCACATTCCTATCCTGCTTATTCCTGAGACTGGAGATTGGAATCGTCATAGGAATAGGCATCAACGTGATATTCTTGCTGTACGCCACTGCCAGACCTTCGGTTCACGTGGAAAAAGTAACTGTAAGTACTCTCAAGTCCTACGCGAAATGGGAGGTGGAAGATACCTCAGCAAAAAAATTATAAATCCAAATCACACCATTTGTGTGCGTTATTTATTATCTATTAATGACTTTTTCTCTTTCGAGGGCTCTAGTGGTTCTGACGGCTGTGATTACTTAGTGATAACTCCAGACAGAAGCTTGACATTCCCTTCAGTGGAATACGTTAGGGCTCTGGTATCCAAAGCAGGGGTGAAACAAGGTTCTAGCTCCATACCGGTCGTCATAGATGCCAGGCATATACAGGGTGCTGACTTTACAGCAGCTAAGGTAGAAAAAATCATGGCACAAAATTAAGAAGTAGCCCTGAAACTGTGCTTTGAGGAACATCAAAATTAAAAAAATGATTCAAATGAGACGACAGGAATATTTATTTCTTCCAAAGAGAACATATTAAATAAAATGTAAACTGTTTCATTTCAAGTCATAGTCAAGAAAAATTGTGCAATGCCAACCCTCTCATTTTTACAAGTTCTATATTCCCTCGAAGTTTGTTGGTTTATTTTTATTACACTTTTTACACTTGGTGTACCACAAGGCACACTTTCAGGGCCCCTACTTCTTCCTAAACCATTATCGACATTAAAATTTCTCAGCAATATTAAACTGCAGGCATATTTCGCTTCCTAGGGTATTAAATCGCTCATAGAAGACTTCCACAAGAGGAACCAGCCCATCCTCTTCTACAATTTGAAGCCGAGGGTCATCAGCATCTTCCAGGGCGTGCAGCCAAAGGATTTCGTGTACTGTCAGACGTACGCAGAATTAAACGAACTCTTAAAACAACACACCCCTCATTCCTCTAGCTCTGTACGAGAGAACGGTGATGCGATCAGAAAATGATGTGATAGCGTTATATATTTTTTTTTGTTGTTATCTTAGTGTTATTTATTAATTGATAGTGTTTCTGTAGGTGTAATTAATTTATACGTAGAATTGTAGAAATTGTTAGTGCGAAGTCTGTATAGAATTTTATACTCTCGTTTTTTTAATTAGGAACGAATGGAATTTTTTTTAGTAATTACTTTCACTTGTAAGTGAATATTGATAGTATTATTTTGTAAGTATTACAAAGCAATGTGATGTTTTAATAAATATATACAAACAAACGACGTAAATTTATTTTACACAGGGCGTTTCTGAAATAAGTACGTTTCTTGAAAATGGTGTTAAAGGGGATGAAAACTTTTATTAATCACTGATGATATAAACATTTTAAATTGAAAAAAATGTTTCACATTAAGGTTTAAACAAATTTAAAGCCGTCCGTGGTGCGGCAGCCTGCTGTACCTTTGATATCTAAGCTGCCGTGCGCTGCAGTGCGAAAGTGCTGATGGCGGCTTTGAATTTATTCAAATCTCGTTCAAACGTAATACAAAAATTAAACGAATAAACGAATTACTTACCAATAGACGATATGCTCTACAAAAATTGTTGAAAGTTGTTTCCATTTGCTAATAAACATGCTTCCAAACGACGGTCAAAATTAGTCCGCATATGTGCAAATAAGCAAAACGACAAGTCTCGTTTAAATTGTACTGACATTCTCCATAAATTAACACAATATATCTGCCAGTTCTTGATCAGAAATCATTTTATCCGTCTGCTAAGTGGCACTGCAACACAACGCACGTGCACAAGATGCACAGGGTCGGTTTACATTTATGGTTAATTTTCTTAATTAATTTTCTCGAAAACAGAAGTATTTATACCACCAGTTGCCCAATAAAAGTTGCTTATTTTCGTGCTCTCTATCACCCTTTTCAAAGAACACACTTATTTGAGAAGCACCCTGTATATGATAACAATAAGAAAATATTTTATAAAAATATTTGCCAAAAATATGTGCCCTGAACTATATTCTTTTATTTAATAAATTGCATACTAAAGGAAATTTATAAGAAAAAAAAATACAATTATAAAATACAACTACCCAGAATTTTTTTAGAGTGGTACAACAGTCATTTACACCATAAAGGAGGTAAGTATTATTTACCAGTCAAGGACGATTTTGCGCCCAAGCGGAGGGAGGGCTGGCAACAGAGTCCGAGACTGGTAAATTATACTTAACTGCTGCGTGGTGTATAACATTTAACTGCTTCCACAGTTCTTTATGGTTCATGCAATAAAGATTAGGTTTTATTTTTTGGCATTTCTTAACCAATTCATTTTGACATAAAAATTTTGTGGATATTAATACCACTTATTTAATACTATCCGCAATTGCAACACGATGTACAGCTTTGTTGTATGTATTGTTGCCTATACGATTAATATTAAACGAGAAAATTGGAGCAGATTCATCACAATGCATTTTTTAATATTGTTAATTATCATTATTAATTTATTATTATTGGCTTATTAAAACTATTGAAATGTCATACTGACAATCATCATAATTAGGGATGTTAGTTTACTTAAAATATCAATTGTCTTACTTATCTATAAAAAGTTTTAGTTTATTTTATGAACAGTGGCTTATTTAAATGCAGTCATAATAATGCTGATTGAGCCCGATAATTCGAGCATCTGACTATGAAGAAATAGTTTTAACCATTGTTGAGGAAATTCCTCAAGAACAATCAACGCCTACAAAGTAATGTACGTAGTGTGACTAGTGTTATGAGAGTAATAGTAACAGTAAACAACGTATCAATTTCAAAGAAGAGTTGCTTTTTGCAGAAGAATGTTGTAAATGTTAAATAGAATTCATAATATTCTCTAATCTTGTGTTGATTTACTGATGAAGCAACTTTTACAAGAAATTATATTTTATACCTATAATGGAATATCTAGAATGATGAAACCCTCATGAGACATGCGAATTCCGCCAGCAGCACAGATTGTCTGAATGTATGGTACCTACGTCATTACCTTGTAGGAAGAGAAGATTATCTCAGTTTATTTAGAAAACACAACAACCTTCTTGATGAGATTCCATTGGAAGTAAAGGAAAATGTGTGGTTCATGCACAATGGTACCCTAGCCACACTACTCTTTGATTGTACTCAGTGGTTGCACCAAATTTTCCCAGAAGATGAAATTCACAAATTACTTGGCCACCGCGTTCTTCTGATTTTAAATCTTACCATTTTTACCTTTGGAGTGACCTTAAAGGCTTAGTTTATTCGACTGCAGTAGATAATTTGGAAAACTTCGACGTTCATATATACAATGCTGTAAATAGTCTCGTAATAAAACAGAAATTTTTAATAATAACGAATTATTATAACTTTGTTTTGTTAATTTTAAATGTACCTTCTACCCACAATAAATTTTGTTGAAGTTATCGGTATGAACACATTTAATAGTATTTATTTGTTGTTCGTTTTCTTACTTTAAAATAATCAGTATAATCCAACTTTCTCATTTAATATTAGTCGTATCGAAAAATGTCAAGAGGAAAAGTTTCTTTAGAATTAAATCATATGTCCACTGATACCGTACAAGCAACCAAAATTTGAAGTATAAAAAATTCAGCTTGAAGCACTCTCTACATTTGTACGAGTAAATGTTTTGAATGTTTCATTTTTATCAGTTTGTTATATGAGTAGTTACTAGTTTATATCTCGGTGCAATTACTAATAAAAAAAATTAGTAATATTCCATTTGTGGTGTTTATGTATATTTTTCAGTAGAAACAAAACAAAGAATACCACATCCTCCTCTGTTTTGCTGTCTCGTCATATAAATTACCATTATGTAATCATGAGCAAATTAAAACGAATTGTTTGCAGAGGAATTTACATCATGCATGTCCACACGTGACCATAAAATCACGTGTGCCTCACTGAAGCTGAAAACATTGCAAAAACTACCGTTTTAGGTGCAAATTGGCAAACCCACTTATTAATATTAATATCACCTGTTTTCAACAGACGCTAAGTGATAATTTAATGTTAATAAAGCGCTTGCTAATCAACTCACGTGTTGTACGAACTGACTGAAGCATTGTAAAACTGTAAATATATACTTTAACATATTTTATTTATTTTAATGTAATTATATTTATATTATCTCACTGCAATAAATAACTATTCGTGCTCTTTATTTAGCTTATTTTTTAATTCCGTGTTTCTTGCACTATTTCATGAATATGTCATACTGACGATTGTGTATTGTTGGACTAATTTGTGCGGTAGAATTTCGAAACAAGTTTCTAACGACTTTTCCCGAATTCCAGGCATCTCCTGGATGCCAACTAGTTATTATTATTATTAGCATTCCACCTACCGGGTGTGTGAGTCATATTATTATGCCACCTACCTCAATACCACCCAGTATGTGTCGATGGAAGAGCAGGTAAGACCCCGTAGAACTTACAAAGCACACTTCGAAGGAACCACAGCCATTAAGACCGAGAACACGTGGCGCGCCCTGGGGTTTTCATAAACATGAACGAGTATGGCATATTACTCACAAATTCACAATTCATCGAACAAATGTATTCAAGCTAGCACACGCATATAATAAACAACCTTATCGCTGGCCAGGCACCACTGTCACAAAGAACACCCTCTCTCAGTTTCGACATCCCGGGCTACATTTTGGTACTCATAAATTACATTATCTCAAGAGCAAATAAACACTTGGCTGGCGCATTCCGTGTGAACAGCTGAGGTTTGATTCAAAGCAACCACGGTAGTTTTCATTTCATAATAAAATTATATATTGATTCCCAACACTTTGAAAATAAACAAGGATTACACATGATTTTCTATAAATAATTCGCGACAAAACTTTTATTGTTGGGGCTGTGACAGCGACAAACGACTTATGATTTCATACAGTAATGGCTATGTTAATAAATATTTGCGTCAGGTAAAATACATGATTTTTACAGTAAAATAAAGTGTGTAATGCAAGGCTCTATTGACGTTTGACGATAAAATATTTAACTTCATTGCATTTCTAAGACGCCGCGCCGCAGCAGGCTTTTTCTGCCTAAGCCGGCTCTGGTGGCAGCGAGAAACAAACGGAAACCAATAAAAAACAAATGAAAATGGCCTTCACAAGCGATAAAATAATCAAGCGGTGCAGAGACGTGGTTTGGGCGCATATCCGATGTATTTCCTGCGTGATCGTGATACTGTCTGTGGTGATACTCATTTAATCTTTAACTCTTACAATTTTAAACTTTTCTAGGAACTCGTGTTTAAAATAAACTTACACGCCTTTGATGTTTAGAGAATAATCACGTACTTCATATGTTTTTCTATAAACAAAGCACAGTTCGCAAACGAAATGTGATAGGATCGTATAAAAGCAACTAAATTACGATCCCTGCAATGTCAAAATATTAATAACAATTAAATTAAAAATACTTTTCTAAGTATAATATACAAGTATTATGGGGTTATAAACGTCAAAGCTGAAATGTTTTATGCGTACACGGTACTCCATATACAGGGTGTCTCATAATTAGCTGCCAACCCTGAACGGGCCAATTCTATGATCAAAACTAAGTAAAAAAATTCATATGAACATGGGTCCGGAAATGCTTCCTAAGGGCACAGGGACCCATTGAAGAGGGAGGAATGGAAATCATTTTTTTGCAATATCTCTCAATCGCGTTGTGATAAATGAATGAAATTTGGTATACACAGCTAAATTTTGATGAGCAATTTGATGGACTAATCCATTTATTTCCACAAGGTCCATTGGGGTGGGTACGGGGGGGCCCTTGGTACTTTGCGTGTGTAACTTTTTCATCTTTGACTTTTTAACAAATTGGACAGCAAATTCCGTTTTCCCGAACTGTTTTACGTTAAAAAGGTACTCTTGTTTCAAATCGTTATCTTTAACGGTTTCTGAGAAAATCGCTCTTGAATTAATCCCACTTTGGTCAATTTCATAGTAATTTAAACAAAAAATAATAATAATAATTTAATACGTAATCAGTAATACACATTATTGATGTAGAACAATTATGATATGATGATTTGTTTATGGCTTTTGCGATGGTAATGCTGCGCGGCAGAACGCGAGTACGGCAGAAGGTTTCCAAACAGAAGGCTGACATCAAGGAGGACATTCCTCACTGTATTCCGCAATTTAGCTGCAACCGTCACTTTTCGAAGGGATCATAAGATGGAAACTTAATTTTGATAACAGACAACAAGCTATTTTAAAAACTGTTCAAAAAACCCTCCACCTTCTCTGATACAAAGTCTTGCCCTACGTGTAACACTTCTCGAAGCTATTAAGATGCTAAAACGGTTTTGACGAATTTCATTGGCTGCATCATTGATACGCTGCAGCAATTCCTCACGGGTATCGACTTCGGTGGCGTAAACTTTTTGATTTAGATATCCCCAGAAAAAGAAGTCCAGCGGGGTTAGGTCGGGAGAACGCGGCGGCCAAGCTACCGGTCCGTGCCTCCCTATCCACCGTCCAGCGAAATTTTCGTTTAGGAAATTTAGAACATTGCGACCACTATGTGCCGGGGCTCCATCGTGTTGAAAAAACATGTTACGTCGTAAATTTAGAGGCAGATCATCGAGAATTTGGGGAAGATTTTCTTGAAGTAAGTTTAAATAAAGATTTGAATTGAGACGTTGTGGAATTTCAATAGGTCCAATCAGAGTGTCGTGAATTATTCCCGCCCATAAATTTATGGAAAACCGTTGCTGGAAGTTTGTTCTCCGAACAACATGTGGGTTCTCTTCTTCCCAATAATGAGAATTATGAAAATTTAATTTTCCATTTCGGGTAAAAGTAGCTTCGTCACACCACAAAATTTTGGAAGCTTGCTCGTTGTCCAGCGACAAAATCCAGCGACAAAATTGCATACGTGGCGCAAAATCTTCTGGTATCAAGCCATGTACACGTCGATAGTGATAGGCATGTAGACCTTGTCGCTTTAATATTCTTCCAACCTGAAATGTTAGTAGCACATCTAATCAATTCTGTTAAGGAAATCTTTAAGATATGTAGTACCGTTGGCCGAGGAACATTTATTTGCCTTGAAATGTTCCGTATGCTAGTCGTAGGATCTTGTTCAATAGCGTCAAGGACCTCCGCTTCCCTATTAATCCTGGGACGTCCTTGACCCGGTGCCTTTCGAAAAGTGGCGGTTGCAGCTAAGTTGCGGAATACCGTAGGGAATGTCCTCCTTGATGGCAGCCTTCGGTTTGGAAACCTTCTCCCGTACTCGCGTTCTGCCGCTGCAGCATTACCATCGCAAAAGCCATAAATAAATATCATATCAACTAACTCTTGTCCCGTAAACTCTTCCATTTTTTTCGCTTAGAACTATTAAATTGGCAATCGGGTTGACAATACTTTGACATAAGAATACCTTGATAATTTTGTTTAAATTACTATGAAATTGACCAAAGTGGGATTAATTCAAGAGCGATTTTCTCAGAAACCGTTGAAGATAACAATTTGAAACAAGAGTACCTTTTTAACGTAAAACAGTTCCGGAAAACGGAATATGCTCCCGTACTCGCGTTCTGCCGCTGCAACATTACCATCGCAAAAGCCATAAATAAATATCATATCAACTAACTCTTGTCCCGTAAACACGCAGATTCACGACGCAAGCCATGCCCTGTATATAAATTAGAATCTGTCAAGCCCAAAAATCGCGCAACAACATTAGGGATTTTTGATACCAACACATTGACGTGTGCATTTTCCCTTTTGAAAATTGCAAAAGAACCCTTTATGCTGCACATTTTGAGGCCTTAGCTTAAAATATTTTCTAATTAATTCAATTGGATTAACACAAAATCCTTCATTTAAGACAGCGAAGCTTCTTGGTTTGTTCGTTTTAGTATTTGAAATCATGATGTGGATATACTGCCCTTTGTCCTCTATGTTGTCTATACTTGGATGGGTCAATTCCTCGCAACGGAAAGTGCCAAAAGCTCCTAATATCAACGCCACCTAAAAACAACAAATTTAAGAAATATAACTCAGTTAAACTATTCAGTAGATTCTACCTTATTCATAAGATGATCGTCTAGGGCTTCACGCAAAAATTGTTCGATTTGTTCTCTTTCTAAGACCTTGGATTTTTTTGGTTGAAAATGTTTGTGCTTAGACTTTAGAAATGCCACTACTCTTCCGAATTTAGAAATTTAATTGTTCTTGTAAACTCTCCGCAATGTCCACAATTTGGATGGAGCTAATTTCTCACTTAAATTGAAAAAATAAGCCAGCAAGACATATTCATTTAGGCCTTTCACCTCTTCTTTGATTTTCCAATCTTGAAATTCCTTCAGTTCTTTGTTGTACATAGACTTTGAGTTCTCCGGAATGATGCCTGCAGTAGCTTTTTTAAAATTCCAGATGGAATTTCCACATTTTCCATTTTTTTCAGTCTTGGTTTTAGGATTTCAACGTGATATCAACTCAAAAAATATTGTTTGTTTACTGACAACCCTTGGTTACAGACACAATTTAGGTTGACACTCGCATCCTTTGTAATATTTAAAAATACATTAATTTCATTAAATTACTTTTTCTGACATTGACAACTTGAAATTTTAACTTACTTTTATTTATTATTAAAACGAAATTCTATGAAAGTGGATAAAATGACATTATTGTAGTTACAATTCCAGATTCTAAAAATGGTATGTCACATACGTTTACAATTAGGGTAAGTCGGGCGGTGTTGGCCATAGGGGGAGAGATTGCCATAGTTAATATTTAGCACTCCAGATAACTGATGACGCTGTTGGACGGTCTGAACGTTAGTTTCTGTTGTGCTATATCCTCGATGCAAATGGTATTGTTGTTATAATAATAGTTTTTTAAATATTTACAAAAAAGGTTTTCGAGGTAAGTAAAGTAGATTTAGTGATTATATACACTAGTCAATGTTTCAAATTTTTTACAAATTTGAGGTAATTACTGGGTATAAACATGATAAATATACACCATCGTGCATCTCAACCTCAAAATCGTTGCTTCTACAGTCGAATTAGTTTAGAAAAAGTAGCACATTTTTCTCTCAGTCACAACGGGGTAAGATGGCCATCTCGGCAATGAGGAGAAGAAAATGGATTTTTTCAGTAGCGAAAGTGAAGAAGACGTGGCTTTGACTACTGAATTCGATAATTCCGTAGAGGACTTCAATGAAAACGAATGCGTCGGTTGTGGGGAGGAATATAATAATACTACAAATAAAGATGACTAGATCTGCTGTGTAAGATGTAAATTTTGGTTACATGAATCATGTACGTCATTTATTGATTTATTCCAAAAATGTGGAAAATTTTGTTTGAAAGAGAAGCCGTCTATATAAATTTATCTGGTATTTAAAATATTAATAATATT